CATTCCCTTCCTTACGCTCGGGACTCAGTTGCGGTGGAGATGTGAGAGCCTTGCTCTCGTATGCTCAGCTGCTGCTTCTAGTGCATGTGCGGTTCTCTCTGGTGAACAACTACGAACACCGAGGATGACGATGGTTCCGGCGAGGATGAGATATGGTACGGAAACGATGAGGCCTGCAACACATGGATTCCAGTATGAACCTGCTGCCGTTTATTGCACTGTAGCTGGGTCTGCATAGAGGGAATGATACGAGCTTGGGAAGTCAACGAAACCTCAGTGAGCACCTAGACCAACACACAATTGCAGTACAAGGAACTTGAAGCCCAAGACCAGAAGACTACTTGGAGGTTCATGGGTAGTTATAAGTGGAGTTATGGGTTACAATTATAGTTACCATACTTATAACCCCACGTATGACTACCCATGAACCTCCAAGTATCCCTCACAGTGACCCTGGCCTGTTCCAGGGTCCTCCAGAGATGGGCAGGGCACCCTGAGAGATGGCTGATCTGGATGTTGAGGTACGTATAATATGGGGGCTTGAAAAACTTGCCATTACCAATACTTCTGGGAGGTCCTCATCAGAATTTATGGGAAAATATACCCCCCCCCCACCCTACTTTCATTCTTAAGGCCCCTGCATTATGGGGTCCGGTTCTGAGGCCCTTCATGGACGGCTCCAAGCCTTGAGATTCCACCGGAGCCAGGGGATGTTACAGAGAAAGGTCCTTGTAAGATCCTGGCTCACTTGGAGGTTCATGGGCAGTTGTAAGTGGAGTTATATGTCCCCCGAGTATGGGTCATAATTACAGCTACCCTACTTCTAGCCTCACTTATAACTACCCATAGCCTCCGAGCACAGTTCTGGAGCTTGTGTCCGCTGTGCAGAGCTCTTCGTACCGGCTCGGCATCCACTCAACCCGGGAGAGGTGCTGTGATCCACTCTTGAACTCTTCCGAGGTGGCTCCGAGGACGACGAAAGCGAGGCTCCGCCGAAACATCGAGAGAAGCGAATTGTGCACTTCGGAGTTCAGGCCTAACCCTAGCATACAATCTTGTTGAAGCCTGCCGAGCCAGGAGAGTTCCTTCATGGACGATGATGAGATCGAGGTGGCTGCCCGGGCTGAGTGGCAGAGAGACAGTCACGAGAGCTTGGACATGTGTCAAAGCAAAAATTCGGGTCTCACTATCTTTCGCAAGTGGTTCTGAGAGTTTGTGGAGGTTTAGTCCAGTGAGAAGGGGCTTCTCTTTAAGGGCCATGTGCCCAAAGTGGTGAACGCATCGCAACCTAATACAACTTTCGAGAGGAAATTGTTGCTCATTGCTAGTTGACTTACGAACAATGCAGCAAGATAGTGCCTGTTTTCCAACACTCTCACAAGACTGGAGGCCTCGTACGGAAGCTGCGATTGTCTTACTGTGTTGCCGCAGATGTTAAAGTCTGTGTTTTGCGTGCAGGGAGCGGCTGCACTGCGCAGCGAGCAGGAAAGTCAAGATGCGCCGGGATGCCTGGAGACATGCAAGATTGAAACGCTGGGCTGCTGCGTTCGTGTCTATGCAGTTCATAGTTGCATGTACTGTAGCTGTTTGTGCACCTATCTGCCTGGAATCTGCCGACCTATCATCTAGGTACTAAGTATGTCCTATCTGTGCATGCATGTACGTATGAGTGTGTACATAGTTGCGTTTGTATGTAGGGACGTGCGTGATGTGTGGATGCGCGCACAAGGGTGTGTGTGTGTGTGTGTGCATGTGTGTGCCTTTGTGTGTGTGTGTGAGAAAGAGATTGTGTGTGTGTGTAAGTGTGTGTGTGTGTGCGTGCGTGTGTGTGCGTGTGCGTGCGTGTGCGTGGATGAACGGATTGAAAAAAGATCGATGGATGTAGCCACCGCTACCGCCACCGCCACCACCCCCACCACCCCCACCACCCCCACCACCCCCTCCCCCCCGCGCACCCCACAACCACCACCACCGCAAACGCCTACTGATGCTGCTGATCCTGCTGCTGCTGCTGCCGCTGCTGCTGCAGCTCTCCTACTTGGCCTTCTCCTCGTCCTCGTCCTCCCCTACTCATAGCATGATCACTTGCAGCACTCCTCCTCCTCATCCTCCCCTACGACTACTGCTACTACTACTGCTACTTACTACTACTGCTCCTAAGGCTGCTACCGCCGCTACGACGACGACGGCTACTTCTGCTTTCTCCCACTGCTCCTGCAACGACAACTTCTGCTTCGACGACAACTGCTATGGCTACTGCTACTGCTACTTCTGCCACTGGTACTGCTGGTGCAGTACCTAGAAGCAGTTGCATCTGTTTGACTTGCGAGTCGCTAAGGATACTGGACTGGTGGTGGCCTCGGAGAGCTTCAGCAGAACCCTTTCTGCCTCGCTCGACATCCGACACCTGTTGCCAGACGCCCTCACCTCCGAAGTCCCGCCAGGTGGTGTCAACGCCAGCTGCTCCGGGTACTTAGACGCCTGGTCCGCCTGCCGAAGGCTGGAATAGACCAGGAACAAGCTACTCCTTAAGAGCTATGGCGCCGATGGATCTCTGTCCTTTGCCGCCCTCACCTCCCATTAAAAAGAAAATACGATTCAACGAGCTTGCGACATCAAGGTCATGTAGCCACCTGGAATCTCGAATGGAGTAGAGCCTTTCAAGCAGCACCGTAGGCCACTGAAGCCTAAACCCGGAACCCGTAATCCAACATCGTCAAACCCTACTATGACACCCCTCAACCCTGCCGTTGGCGAAACCCCCTAAACCTTAGAAATACTTAGAAGCCAGAAACCCCAAAGCTTCTGGCGTCTGGCTCACTAGACCCTGCATGTATCATAGGAGCTAAAATAACCTTGTTCCTTTAAGGGTTGTTTGATATCAATGTTCCTTCTTCGGAGTACACTATGATATGCCGAGGCCTTACACTAACCCGTATCAAAATCCTTGTAGTAAACCTTAAAGCCGCGCTTGTCGAACCCTTATACTAGCCGTTATAGAAGCCGTTTAAAAAGTAGTCATAGAAGCCGTTTAAAAAGTAGTCACTCCTTCATTGAAGCTGAGACAGGCCGGGCCATTCAAGGAGCCGCTCCCTTGGCAAGATCTGGGACTTGAAGACTATCCTGAGGCCATGACTGCCCTGGTTTTGAGGTTGGGGCTTTAGGGGTTTAAGGCTTCGGGGCTTGGGGTGTACCTCGGGCATTTCTCTCTCTTTTTCTCCTAAAGCCCTAATTTGCAGGTTAAAGGCCAGGGGCTTCTGATGTTTTTGGAATTTCGGGGGGGCGGGGGGGGGGGGTCACCCAAGAGGACTTGAGGTTCCGAATTGGGTATGCTATTCGTGAGGAATGAAAACCTATCAAGTTAGCAAGTTAGCAAAACTGGTCTGTTAAGCTTACCGGCAAGGTGGCTTGAGTGAGCACTACAAACACTATCCCCAAACCCTGTTCTGATGTTTCAGGCACCGGTCCCGGCGTACTGCGCTCCCATAAACTCGCTTGTATTAAACCATGTCCCTTCAGAGTGCTAGAAATGCAGGATTCAGGACTTAGGCCTTGTAGCTGTTTAACCCTAAACCCTAAACCGTTTAGTTCGACTTGCTCGCCTGCTATCCTTGACAGGTTATCACGAATCCGATCGATCTTAGGCCTGTCGGCTCCAATGATGGGGGGGGGGTTTAGGATTTAGGGGGGTAGTCTTGGCGTCTGAATAGTTAGCAAAGCCATTCTCTTATGGCCCCCATAAACGCAAGTATAGTATCCAAAACCCCCAAGCCCTACTCCAATGCTTCAGGCCCCTGTCTGAATTTGAGGGGCATCGGCTCAGTCTTTTGGAGTCTGCTGCTGTGATCTGTGATACCCTACGGTTTTAGAGAGGGCCTGCAACGGCTACGGTTTGTTGACTTCGATGCGTCAGTCAAGGTGCCGAGCTCCAAGGAGGGTAGTCGACTACAGACCCTAAATTGGCCCTAAATGTCCCTAACCCCCCAGGTACCTACCATATAGGACCCTAGGGGCTCTGGTGCCCTATATAGTAGGTACCTGGGGGGTTAGGGAATGCTTGTGAGACTTATTTCCTGCAGATGCGTGTGTCGTTTACAGAGTTTTGTGTCAAGCAGTCGAAGTGTTTCTTCGCACATCACCCTCGACGGACTCTAGGACCATCGCAGAACGACTCGACACTGGCGACTACCAGGCAGCGGCACTCAGGATCACAAGGTTGGGATGAAGTTCTTGCGGTGGTGTCTGTATACTCCAGGCCGAGGCTTTATTTACCGCTCAGTGAAGGTGAGCTTTTTCATGAGTTTTCCCAAAGGTCATAAAGCCCCGCCCCAACACCCTAAGTCCCAATCTCGACTGCTGTGAAGATCTCCCTCACAGCGCTGTGTTTTGCGCCCGAAGCGTTCAAGCACGGCCTCAGGATGAGGAGGGCTTCGTCAACCCCGACTTCTTCTGGCAGGCCTGCTGGACGATCCCAGGGTTGCGGCAAAAGTTGGCAGCTAAAGGTCTACGGAGGGTTTTCGATCGTCAGCAGTGCAACTGCCGCGGCTACTGGGGCTGCTCCTCCCCCTCCTAGTCCGACTCTCCTCAGACGACTTCTTCTCCTTCTACTACAGGACGACGAATCCCGTTTCAACAGTCGCCTTTAGACCTAGCTTTCGTACAACTGCTGGCGATAACGCTGCAAGGCAGCTGAGACTCCGAGCCATACCGGCATGAAAACGAAATCAGCAGGGCTACATATCTCATCTGAAGGCCAATGCTCCTGCTGCATATAGCTGATGTTACCGCTTGCAGTGTTATCAGTCGTAACTAGCAACAGGCTAGCCGAGGCAGTTTCGCAAGTGTCTTGCGTGGAAAGAGCATGTAGAATCCAACATGCTTTGTTAGTGTAATGTGTTTGCCTGAATTATCAGAGTAATTTAGCTGTCCTCCCAGCAGACAACTAGAGTCAACTAGAGTCCCACGTTATTTGCTCACTGCTGTGGCTCGAAGTCCATCAGGACATCGCAGCATGCTGGGAGAACTGCAAAATCTACTACGAGGACAGTTGCTCCAGATTCTGTGCGATGATTGCTCCTTTGCTCGTTGTTTTGGGAAGCGTAGTGGGTGCTTCCGTTTGAAGCCCTCCGGTAGTGGATATGTGAGTGTCATCCTCTGAGTGCACCAGCAGTTGAAGCCCGAGATGATACAGTATTCTGTGACTTGTTTGTGAAGCCGTTAATTCAAAAGACGACGATATTGTAGCCTCCGTTCTCGCCAGGAGGATCCTGAGATTGAGGCCGTTCGAATGGCGGAGGATTTGGGGAGCCGATCATACCTTGCCATGTTGTGGAGGGTTGATTTGCTACTGCCGTTGATTCGCATTTGGCGTGTATTTTTTCTTTCACCTGAGGGCTGGTTTACCAGATGTTCTTACTCGCCAGTGTTTCGAAGCAAGGGACCTAGAGTACTGAGGTGCTCGTGGCGAGACCTGTTTTTGCAGGTGTTCGAGCAGTTCAAATTCGGAAAATGCCGGGAAATTTCAACAGTCGTCTACAATCGTTGCCAGCACAAGGTCCTGGCCTAATTACACCTCTGTGAAGATAACTTTCCTGAAAACGCACCAACACAAATCGCATTGAGGTCTAGGATGCATGGTGCCGCGGGATCATTGGAACACTTTATTCTCCAAGATGTCCAAGACCAAGACTAGAGCTTTGAAGATCTCTTGTTGGAATAACCTTTTGGGGTCCTTTGTAGTAAAAAGATTATTCGGACCCCCCGGGAATATTGTTGGCAATTACTTGGGTTTCTATGCCTGTTCCAGGAGATGCGCCTGGAGGCTGAGAAGATAGAGGAGGAGTTCTGGCGGGATCTGGAAAAGCACCTTTTCTGCATGGGTGTCCTGCTTTGGAGACTAGGTAGGCGAGGGCAGAAGAGAGAACCGACCGGTAACTGAGTCTTGTTGCAAGCTAGATATTACTAGACATGGGCAATTGATCATGTGTCCTGCGTTCAGTGTGTGTCGATTGCGTGGATTTGCGGGCACGAGGGCAATGCAAAAGCGAGCAGCATCTGATCACAATGGGATGACGACAAGTTTCAAGGTAGATGATATGTTGCAGCAGGTTTGCTGGCCTCGATGCAGCGCAAGCTCAATGAACTAACTCAGTGGGATGCCTGCAGGGTCGTCGTCGTAGCCCAGGCTGTGACTCAAGGTCTTGTCTGGTTACACTAAACCCGACTTTATACATCCCCCAGGTTTGAAGCTTCTCTGGATCGCGTGAAAGGGCCCTCGCCTGAGCCGGTCGCAGGGTGTTCGTTTTTTTTGAAAATGTTGGGCTTTGAGGATTTGGTGCTGTTGGGGTTACGCTAGCCTCGAAGGTCGCAACTCTTTTGCGCACAGAGCCATGGACAACAGCATGCATGTCGTCTACATGATTGGCTTCAACTTCATCGCTGTACCACTGTGTCCAGGGTTCATATTGGGGAACTTCCGACACGTAAGGCTTCGGGCCCTTATTCAGGGATACTCCTTCTTCTGGAAATCTTCCGCTTGATACAAAGACAGTTGGATGAGTCCAAAAGGGGCCAAGCAGCTCGGGGCGCCTCATCTCTGGAACCGCAGACTCAAGCCCAGTGGCCCTGAGTCAGACACCGTAGACTCTGTACCCGAGTCAGGCTCTACCTCTGATTAGCTCTCTGCGATGGGGCTCGGACGAGTCGGACAGCTAGAACTTCTCGTTCTGTAGACGCATCGATGTGCTGCGGATTTTGGCACGGGGTTCAAGTTTGTAATTTAATTTGTCTGTCTCATGCCCGTGTTTCCTGCTCTTTGAACTGTACGGAACCCGAAGTCGTGATACACTGTCCCGGATCTTTGCAGCAAGGTGTGATTGAGGCGGAGGCAAAGTACTGTCTCATATCAATCCGTAACATGCTACAGTATACCAAGAAATATCATGCAAACTGTGATATGTGATACCAGTTTCGGTGACAAGGCCTGCTTCAGAGCCTTGGTTCCCCTTGCCCAGCAACCGAGAGGTTCGACCTGTAGGGCCCTTCTGGCGCGGCGAGTAGGAAAAGGGAGCTCGACGAAAACCGGAGCCCCCAACCTCAAAAGTAAACCCCAAACCCAAGCCCCTGTACACCCTATACCCTACACTCGAATCCCCAACTTGAGGCGTCCCAAGTAAGAGAGCCATCAGACAAAGCTTGGCAACTGCAGCCTAAGGTGTCCGTGGCTCTCTGAAGTCCCAAACGTCCCAAGCTGCCCAAGTTCGCAGGGCGGCTTTGAGCAAAGTCGCTGCAGTTGCCGACGTTGCCAAAGGAGCGGTCGAGGACATGGTCATTGCATCATGGGCATAGCCATGCATCCTACACAGTCGAGGCTGCACAATACCCCCTCTGAGTGTGCGCACTTGCAGATTGCACATGCTCCCGCTGAAATAAGACAGCATGCCGTAATGAATCAGCACCTAGTTCTGCATAAGAAGAAGACGCCTTTGTCAGCGAAACTGAAGTCACAAGCATATCAGACTTCATTCCATCGCCGCCGTGCCAGATAAAGTTACAGTTGCATCGGCAAAGAGGTTAGTCGGTGAGAGGTGTAGCCCATACGAGAGGCGCAACGTCGACAACATCCTCATATGATCTTCGTTCAACCCTTCACCAGATGAGCCCTGTCACTCTCCAAACTCCAAGGCTCAACCCTCAGTTCCCCAAACCCATCCGGCAAGTCTCACCTTGGCTGAGCCCTTTTAGAGAGGATGCTGCCAAGCAAGCCATGCAAGAGTCAAAGAAGCTCGCGAAGCGCCAGAGCCTGAGGTTGTGTTTGTATCTACCGTTGCGCTGTTCATCGGTTAGACACTTGTTTCTTGCAATGGACTGCCCTCGGCCTGCAGTGCAGTTTAGGGTTTAGGGAGCAAACTCAAGTTCCAGTTTGCCGAGTGCTTTCCGCAATGATTGCACGCAGAGACAAATGCTGGATCCGCCGTTAATCCGTTAATGTGTGATCACGCAACCTTCCCGTGCTTGCTCTGGAGTTACCAACTCTTGTCATCTTACGCAGGTTCCAAACAGGTTCATGTTGCCAGGAAACCCTAAACCCTAAACACCAAACCCTACCCGTATATCGTCAGCTTACTATTACTCGAACTGTAGACTCGAACTGTAGCAAGGCTGGACTGAAAGGGCCCCGCCCAGCTGTCTGGGTGAAGAGTCTTCATGTTTGGATTTGGCTGAAACCTCGCATCCAGATACGGTTTTAGGGTGTAGGGTATTTAGGGTTCAGGCTTGTTGCTGTCCCTCTAGTATGAAGTAAACTTGCATGGCCAGCTGTATCATGTCCTGGGTCTGTGCTAGTTAGGCTAACGGTTACTGGCTGGCGAGTATGCGAAACTGTACCTTTGCATGCTTGATCTTTTCGTTTTGTTGGACCTCCGCACCACCGCTTCCCAACAGATGACCGGAGCTTCAACAAAGGCCCCATTGCCCAATTCTACAACCAACACGCTGTAATTTGGAAGACCCTCCAGAGCAACCATGCAAGGTGCACAAGACTGGTGGTATGCCTGACCTGATTGGCACGACCCACTGTATGCAGAATACTCTGCTTACTCTGATTTTGCTGTCTCTCCAGCGCCCAGTAACTAGTAGTTTTAGATTAGTATAAATGGTACTTCTAAATGGCATGCCAGCGTTGTCACCAGCAATACTCTCAAGCCTGCCGGGACGCTGTTTCGAACACGTTGAAGGCTTGAGATTTCAGGAGGACCGCGCGAGACGGCCGTACGGGCGGATGGGCGGTCTTTCTTGACGCTTGTGGTTCAGACTGCTCAGAATCACGAGGCTGCAGGGCCTGTAGACTCTTTCCCTGCCTCGCTCCACCTGTAGTCCCTGAACTTTCGGGAGTATTGGCGGCAAGTGCCGACGACAGGAACAAACTCCGTGGAAAGAAGGGTGAAGAGCTGGGCCCTTGTGGAAGTGGACCAAGTGTGCATGCGAGACTGCTAGAGAGCCATCGAGAGGGGTACTGCACGAAAGTGTCGTTGAGACTTCCTGAGTAGGCCTTTGAGATATTTTGCATTTTCCCTCATTGGGCTTAAGAGGAACTTGTTTACGAATCTTTTCAGAGGCTTTATAGTGCCAACCCAGCTTCCATTCTGAACCCTCAGAGACGACACCCCCAACCTTTCAGCGATGCCACCCTAAACCCTAATTTACCGATTTACCCTAATTCCTAAACCATTTTAGGGTTTAGGGTCTATAGGGTTTCCACCCTAAACGCTTTAAGCCCAGGCTGCAGGAGCAGCGGGACATCCAAGTTCTCGAGCTGGTGACCTGACTGGAAAGCGGGCGAGACATCGACTTCGGCGCAACTTTGAACCGGCGTTTGGGATCCACCTCATGAAACCCTAAACCGATTTAGAAGTTGCTTGAGGCTCGGAGGCGATGACATCTTCATGCAAGGGCTGATTCAGCAGAAGGAAGCATCGTTTCAGGATGCAGCTGCCAAGCAGTGCACCGACAGGGGTCCATTCTTCCTGACCCTTTGCCATGTCCCAGCGCAACTTTACGGTAGGGTGCACATCTGCCTCTGAACTCTAAATCCTAGACTCCTCCTGAGCCCGGCCCTAACCCGCCAACTTATAAACCCTACACGCAAAATCCTAAACCTCAACACCTCAAGGCCAAGAACGAGAAGCCCCGTCTTCGCGATCATTTCCTGGAGCTGCTCGGCGAATTTCTCTTTGGCAACAGGCAGGGTTTAGGGTTTAGGGGTTTAGGGTTTGGGGTATTTTGGGTCTTTTGTGTTTGGTAAGGGTCATGATGGCTATGGTCATTGTGGGGAGGCTCATCAGCAGCAGCAGCACTACCATCCTCACAATCATCGTCATCTTCATCTTCATCATCATCATCATCGTCGTCAAATTCATCTTCATCTTCATCGTCGTCGTTTGTGCTATCCGAAGTCCGACCACCAATTTTCTACAGTCGATCTTAGCCTTCCCGACATGAGCAGAATACAATTTGTCCCCCGAAGCCCTGGTTCGAGATACACCTCGTGCACACGACAAGCTTGCTGAGGATGCTGAAGCTTCGCTTCCGGATGGATGGTTGGGAGGTGCGAGCACCAACTTTCTGTTGCTGGCCTTTCAGGGACTTGCCTTTGCAGGGTCTACTTAGGGACTGAGCAGTCGAGAGCAGTCGAGAGCTTGGATCCAGGGAATCAGTATGATGGCACCTAGCAGAAATTCGACTCAATTTGCGGGATCACCGGAATTGCCAGGAAATCCGGGGTCATTGTGGAATTAACTATTCGATTTTGTGAGCTGTGACCTGTGTCTCAGTTCTCTGCATCTGCCTGGCTAGGTTAAGCTGCAACGACTAGCGTCTCACGTACAAGCAAGACTGCAGGACCTCCTGGGAATAGAAGAGGAGGTGATCGTCGGAATGCGCCAGCATTGGCCTTTCTTGGAGGAGGCAACGACACTTTGCTCGCTAGAACACTTCTGGACATGAGTTGCTTTGGTCTGAGGACCATGGTCTTGCATGTGAACTCTGGGATGTAGCCATAGCCGAACGGTGACAGCGTAAAGTTCACGGAGGGTGGCTCCTTGCGCTGCGCAATTGTAGCGCCTGCCGCAAGCCACATGCCTTGTGATGAGCACCTTTTGCTTGAGCACCTGCCTTTGCCTGGAAAAGCAGCAAGCCGCACCTGAAATGTGCACACGTGGAAACTCTGGGTCTCAATGACAACAGGCAAGGCAGACCAACTTGCTTGTTACTATCTGCGACTCCAGGAGTCAGATCTTGTGGACTACCCAAAGCCACAGCCAGCCTCGCGCTACGCGCTGGAACACATCGCTGTGGAGAGGCCTGAGTTTTTGAGCTGAAAGGGTGAACTGTGCACTTTCGGCTGGGAGCCGGGATTTCAATTATGTTCAGAGCACAGGTCACACGTAAAGGCAGTCGCGGACAATACCCAAACGACTATCTCCACAACGAGAGGGTAAAGACATCCACTCAAGCATCGGTACTGCACAGCAGCACTCAGCGATAACGAGCAAGATTCACGCTGTCTGTTGCAGTGTTTGCAGCGGCAGTCAGCGGCATGTCGTTGCGGCGACGTCCGACTTGAGCCATGCACTTGCGCTCCATTCATTCTTTGAGTTTGTTTGCACTCTTGTTTTCTCACGTGCTTGGCCGATCGGGCGTTCACGTCCATGTTACTCGGGCTCAAACCAACCCAAACAAGAACAAGCATCGCTTCGCGTTTCAAGAGGGTCCATCATTGTCCTGGAGAGCATATTCAGAGGTAGTGGCTTGTTGCCCCGAAAACCGAAGCTGCTCGACAGCAGCCTAAGCCTGACAGCTGCCTATATTTGACCGTGACTTCATCCCTCAGCGGTTTCGTGCCAGGCTTCTGCCCACCAAGTACGTTGCCTGTATCCAAGGTGGCTCGAAGATGTTCAAGTAGAGCTGCCTCAGCCATCAATGCCGAATCTTTACATATAGAGTTCATGTCACAACTTGGTCATTCCAATTCTTATTCCCATTAACTATTGGTCCGCTTCTCTTGGTTTTTGTTGAAGTTATTGCTGACATCATCATGCCGATACAAACGTAAGGCCGTCCTTGTGGGTAGTACGGCTAATGCATGTTAATGCTCTACTGAATTTGTTCTTGCAGTTTAAATTCACTTGACTAGGTTTTTATCGCTTTACAAGTACTTCGGCTCTTAGACTATCAGTAGTCTGTTTTCGATTTGATAGCTACTTATCAGTATGGCTGGATTGCTGTTAACAGTGATGATGGCCACGATGATTGTGTTGCACTGTGTTCCGCAATAAGTGCTGCTCAACTTGTGTGACTCGGGGGTTGGCCTTTTAAATGTAGGCTTCGGGCTGTGCGAAGTTTATGGCTGCGCTGTCAGTATGACAGTGGCGCCATAGTCGCATAAAGCCAAAATGCAGTGGCTGAATGGCAATTGCAGATGCACGCAGGCGGCACCGACCGGCGTCCAAAGCGCGGCGAGTTCACAGCTCGGCTTTGACTTGAGATATGTCGTGGCCAGGGGGCACCTGGAAGAAGGAACTGTCAACGGCGCTGAAAGGAGCATGAGCTTCGGAGTTCCACGATTAGTCGGTTCTGTTTCGTGACTAGTTACTAGCAGCCAGCCACTCGCACTTGCCGAAGTTGCATGCAGCCGGACACTAGCCTGAGCCTGCCTTGCCCGTGGCTCTTCGAAAAGTAGCCAGCGCCCCTTCATCTCCCCGTGCTTGCCTTCCTCTGGTCGCAATGGAGACTCGTCAGCTCCAAGTGGCCTTCCTGCATCTAATATAGGGGCCTTAATAAGTAGAAGAGGGTTTGGGGATGTATTATACTATGAATTATAATAAGGAACCCCCAAAAGCCCTATTCTGATTATTAAGGCCTCTACATTAAGCTCACCTTCGACAGCAGGCGATCGCGCCCTACATAGCTATGTACTGCTCAGCACAGCATACATGCCGCGACACCCCTGTCTTGCAACATACAACATTGGGTACCAACTACCAAAAGATGGTATAGTGAACCAGTAACCTGGCATTGACCGCAGGCTGCGAACTCTCAAACACTACTGCGAAGATGGAACAAGAAGAATAAATAAGAATCTGCAGCCACGTGGTTCACTGTAAGTATCCGCAACATCGCAGTAAGAAGCGACTTCAAGCCAGCGCATGGTCACGGCGGGCCCACACACAGTCGCACTCAACTCCTGCTCTCCCTTTGTCCCTGTCTCTGTAACGGACTCTCTCCCGCCTTCGCTCTCTCCTCTCTCCTCTCTTTTTCTCTCTCCCTCTCTCTTTGTCCCTCCCTCCCTCTCCTCGCCTCCCCTCTCCTCCCCTCTCCCCTCCCACCAGATTGAAAAGCTTGCTCCAGGTTTGGGCGAGTACCATGTCTGGAAAGACGGTAAAGCTCTCAATGGACAGTGACGACAGCCTGCTCTACTTACGCCATCAAGCAACCAGAGCCGCAGAAGATGTGTGTGTGTGTTGCGGTCTTTCGTGTCCTTTGTAGGTCTGTGTAGCTCGCTGCGGGCTTGCACTTTTGACAGCTTTTGCTAATTGTCGGTTGTCACAGGTAATGTCACCGAAATCTTGCGACATGTTGCTAGACCAAGAGCAATGAAGCTTTCAATCCACATCCGACATTAATTCAAGGTCGGTCACGAGCGTTCCCAAGCCTCCTCCGAGGTGAGCCAGAGCCTGGGGCTGTCGACATGGCAGCTCCGCTTGCTGCTCGACGGCGAGATCATGGACAAGAGAGGACACAGCGAACGACAACCTGACGAGCTTCTAGAGGCTTGAAGACGGACAGTTGTGTTCGTTGTTTCCTCCCTTGCTGAGGGGCTGATAACTACCGAGCGGTGTTCGCCATCGAAAACGGGAGCCATACGGCCTCCAATTCCCCTTTCCTTTCAGCGCAGGACGTCTCGAGGAGATAGCGCCCACAGAGGGACACGAGTTGCAAGTCCTGACGGTGACAGCGCCCAAGCTTTTCACACGTGTGGAGAGACTGAACAGTTTGCACTAATTTTTGTGCAGACGATGCCACTGTCTTCTTCAGAGGGAAGTGGTTTGTGATCTTGTGACATTGAGTTTGCTGGTTGAGATCTCGTCCTTCCCATGTTTCTCCACATTAAACTGTTTCAGCATAGTCAGGTTTGTAGACACCACAGCTTGTTTGCAGTGAGACATAGTGAGACTGCAACATGAGGTGCCGCTCCCCTCGGAGGTGGCGTCTCGCAGTTCCAGACTGTGGACCCTGCTTCGAAACAGGATCACACGAGACGTGCTGTCCCGAAGTTCGTTGGCGCAGCTTGCAGTGAAAGAGCGCATCTTGCTAGGGGAAGTGGACTTCTTCTACAACGGGGACAACTTGCTGGAGTTGGCTGCACGTAGCCTCCCTCGAATCGATGCCAAGGAGACTGGGTGTCTGCTCTTGGATGGAGGCGCAGACGTGAACGGCAAGTCCTCAGACGGCTACACGCCCCTTCAGACTGCCTGCTGCCGTGGATTGGTCGGACTGTCAGAGCTTCTCCTGCAGCGTGGAGCGAACAGGTTCACAGCATCGCCTTCCGGAGAGGATGCGCTTGACTGTGCGCTCGGCTTCCTTGCGGCGTGCGATCGTTTCGGCTCCCAGGAGCGTGAGGAGGACGTGGACCTCGCAAAGCTGTGCTGTCGCCTGCGGAACAGCCGCATCGAGCGAGCCCGCTCCTCTGGCGAGCTCGTATCGTCCCTGGCAAAGGCCCGGCTCTGTCTGTCAAGGGTGGCGACACAGCTCGCACTCCTGGGAGGCAAGTTCGTGAAACTTAGCCAAAAAGAGGTCTTCGAAAGGAGTGGCCTCAGCGAGGCCTCGGTTCAGAGCTTCCAAAAGCATCTCTGGGCAGGCTGGCCTGGGGCCTTCCTGACCTTTGACACCTGCATCTCCGAGGAACCAAAGATCCAGGAATCCTTCGCCCATGCGCGGTCACGTGTGCTTGCTTACCGTCTCAGCCAAAACAAGAATACGACCTGGACCTACAAGAGTCCCAGAGGCAACAGGCGTTTCTGCTGGGTGTGGGAATCAGACTATCATTGCTTCGATTGGGACTATGAAGTCTTTGAGCGTGGCGAGTGCTTTCTGACAATTGGCGACTACAGCCAGAGGAAGATGCAGAGCTCTGGCCGAATCCGATCCAAGCACTACTCTGTAACTTTCAGAGTCGGTTTTATGAAGGTTTAGAGACGCCGTCTAGGGTTTAGGGTATATAGGGATATCCTAAGTCTAGCAATTAGACAGATCTGGGCCTCAGGTTTTCGGTGCGGGGCCTGAGGGAGGGTGCGGCTGGGGCCAAGCACGATCCAAGGCTTCAGTTTACCAGCCGTAAACATCAACCATCAGTGTCAACTCCCGTTGCTGTAGTACGCCCATCTGCGGGAGCCGAATCCACGACGAGATCTAAGGAACCGCAAGTGGGAGACTGCGAAGGCAGGGGCTTGCGAGTATGATTGCGACTCCCTGCCTGAGCCCATTGATCAGGAGCCAGGGTATCGACTAGATGGTGAGGATGATGTTGACCATAGTCCAAAAAAGCCACAGCTGGTGATGTTGGTGACGATGCCGATACTGCTGATAATGAGCAGGAGGAACTGAGAGAATCATTATAATCATCATCGTCACCGCGGTCATCAGTCCTCCACCACCATACTCCTCACCATCAGCTCATGCATCACCATCATTACCGTCCGCAACAACACTAACAGTGCCACGTTGCTATTCGTTGCCAGCCATAACCAGCAGATCTTCAAGGTTCAACAGTGATAGCCAGTCCTATCATCACCTTCACCTTCAGCATCATTTTCACCATGTTCGTTCGGCAAGTTTCAGCAACATCATCACCACCGTCATTGTCATCATCACAGTCGCGGCAACAAAACCCATAGCCAGCCACAACAAGGGTCAGCAGATGCTGGCGGTTGGTACAGACCTGTAGCCCTGAATCCAACCCGATTCTGGTTAGGAGCTCCAAGATGTAGGGGTAGTTTTCCATGTTTCATTAACCCCCCCCCCCCTCTTCCCAACACCCAGCGAATGTCCAGACGTGGTTTCTCCCTGCGACCGCGACCGGCTGAGTCAGCGACAACTGCAGGATGACTGACAGCAAAAGATCGCAGACTACAATCATGGCGCCAGCCACAACATCGAGAACACCAAATTGAATAGCCAGTCAGCAAGCGCAACAAGCAGCAGCGAAACGACGGCAATCCCACCAATACGAATCAGGGTTATACAGCATCCCCCCTAGTGTCAGTGACAGGCATGATCGCCGAAAGAGTCATACGTAGAAGATATGACCACAAGCAGAACCAGAATAAGAAGAAGAGCAGTATACCCTCTGCAATGCTGCAAGGCTAATACCCGCAGCTGCCGCCGTGTGGCATTCGAGCCAAGTCGTCGCCGCGACTCACACTCTACGCGCTTGGCGCGGCGAATGCCACGCAGGTCCGGGGCACTGTCTGGCTTGCAGATATGTACATATTATTACATAACACACATATGCATAATCCAACTAATATATTAATACAGTTTAATTCAATACAAGCTTTAATACAAATGCACTTCAGGGAGGCTTCGGAATTCGGATTGCGGGTGGTTTGGCTGCATGAGCTCCTTGGAGCCTTCCGACCCAAATCCAAGAAGGATCCCACCTTTCAGAATAGTATAAGTTAGGGGGCTTACTCAAAACATGGTCCCTTCGGTTTTGTAGACGGGGCTCGCAAACCCCAAAGCTTTCCCAATGGGCAAAAAAATGATCATGGAGCTCATCTCGGCTGTCATCATGGTTACAGTACGTGCTCGAAATCATCATCAGCATCGTATCCGTTTTTATGTGGCAAGCCAGTCTTGCGAATCTGAAAGTTAGATGTTGATGTCATGAACATCGATTCGTGAGGGACGTCCAGATGGCGCGGCGCAAGGAGCGACTTCGCGGCGGTGTGCGGGAGAATCTGTCGAAGTTCCAGCTGGTCAGAGATCAGCTCTGGCAGTAAATGTTGGTAGTATAGTTTCAGATTGAGTTTGCAGATGGCACTTTTCAGCTATCATGTTCCGGCGACATGGGGGGATCCCAAGAGGCCCATCGGAGTCGAACATGACCCATCACCAAAGCAGAAATGGAGAGCACGCTTCGAAGAATCCCCATCTCAACATTTCGTGCGGAACTGTCTTCAAATAGTGTAAGTATACTAGGCTGAAGGACATCTCAGCATGGCGAGGGCAGAGCCATCGCGCCGGCATCTGCAGACTGACGCTGTCAGTGCTTGCTCGTGGAGGACGACAAACCGAGCCTATCCAGGCTAGAAATTGAGGGTGTAGGTGTTGTAATAGCCGTCTTCATAGTAGTCGTGGTCGCAGTCGAGATCGTAGTGGTCGTAGCAGTAGCAGCAGCAGCAGCAGCAGCAGTAGCAGTAGTCGTAGTGATAGTAGTGGTAGTGGTAGTGGTAGTTGTAGTGGTAGGGGTAGTGGCAGTGGTGGCAGTAGTAGTAGCAGCAGCGGGAGTGGTGGTGGCACTAGTAGTAGTGGTGGTGGTGGTAGTAGTAGTAGTAGTCGTAGGAGGAGGAGGAGGAG